GAAACACATCTGAGGCATGTGCATGCCCACAGTCCTGAGAGGAGAAGGGATTGTAGCAAGGCCACCCACCCCGGGGGTGATTTCTCACTTTCTCAGGTGAGTACACATGCCCGATAGACAAAAAAAAGAAAAAAAAAGGAAAAAGGCCAATAAAATGGAAACAAAAAGCAAAACCTATCTACCTAAATATATACATATATATAAATATATACACACACACAGACACACACACATTGTATATGTATATATGGTAGGGTTATAGGCAGTGTGGGGTAATGCTTAATGACTTCCTCTTCAGAGACTGGAGAATCCTCCACAGCATCTAGTGGTAGTAGCGCCTTAAGAAAACATTCAACAATTAAGTGTTAATTGTTGATTGATTTCACCTTATGACCAACTGCTCTTACCCTAAAATTCAAGTGAGATGAAATGATTGGTCACTTTTCTGATTTGATATCTTCTTCAGTTTCTTACATCTTAGCACATTTTTAGCAGATTGAGACAGTAAAATCTCTGATTTCCTCATTCTCCAAACATGTATGGCATCACCTCAAAACTGGATTGGAACATTTCAGAGGGATGGATGAGGAGCACCAACACTAGACCAAGGCCAGGTCATCTTGATAGTCTTAATTTTTGTCAGTTCCTGGCATGATGATTTAGAATAAAAAAATTGTATATAAAAATAAACCGAGGGACCAGCAGTTAGTGTAATGGCTATGTTGCTGGACTCCCATGTAGTTGACTGCGGTTAGAGTTCTGGACCTGGTGGCTTAAACTCATGCCGGGTGCATGTGTGTGTGCGTGCCCAAGATCCTGAGAGGAGAATGGATTGCGGTGTGGCCATCCCCCCTGGGGGGTGATTTCTCACTTTCTGTCTCTCTCTCTCTTTCTGGTGAGTGCACGTGCCCTATAGCAAAAAACCTCTCCAAAAAGGAAACAAAACAAAACAAAACAAAACAAAACAAAAAATGAGGTGGTCTTTAGAATCAAGTATCTTCTACAATACAGAAAATTAGGTCAGATTTTCAAGTAATCAGACTTTAGGTTGACCTTCTGACTCAATGAGAAAATGTTTACTTGAGTATTTGTGGTATTTCTTGCACCATGGGTAGCGCTGCATTTTACAATTAAATAATTAAATATATCTTTTTTTTTTTTTAATCAATGACTCTAGATTAGGGATAGATGAAAATCTCTGGAGCTTTAAGTATTATTCGATTTTTTTAAAAAGTAGGTAGGATTACGGTTGCTCTGAATTTCAGTAAATCGATACTTCAGAATAAATAAGCAATTAAAACTCAAAGTCTCTTGAGGGGAGAAAACACACATATATATGTATATATACACACACATACATTCTGAGAGAGAAAACAGAGAGACCAGAATCAAAACCTATGTAGTCCTAAATGCCATGGAGCTGCTCTGTGCTGGAAGCATGCCTTTAAATTCCTGCGTTACAAGGAAAACTGCTCTTTCTTCAGCTATTATCCATTTGTAAAAAGTTCATCATTTTATCAGGCATTCCTCACACCTGTTAGGTTATAGCATTAGCATTATTTTTAAAAGAGAGCGAGAGAAGACTAAAAACAGCGACAGTCGTGACTATTCCAAAGACATTTGCAAATGACACTACGAGTTTTTTCTTGCTCTGCAAAATGTACCTGCAAACTGATTTAGGCAGACGCGTCGGAGGGCCGACATTTTCCCTAGCAGGGACTTGACACTTCGGAGAACTGAGCGGATGTTAAACGGTCGGCTAAACGCCAGGAGGCTCTACAGCGTCTAATTAAGCCACCGTGGGAACAGCGGGACGACCCCGCCCGTGCGGACGCCGTCTCTGCCCCCGGCACCCGGGCACCG